ACGAGTATGACGGAGAAATACATATACTTTCCCTAGACTTTAAACAGGCGTTTGACAAACTAAACAGAAGAAAAATGGTCCAAGACTTAGATATACAAGAGAGTAATATACCAAATAAAATTATAAGAATGATAGAAATACAATACGAGTTTCCCGAGAAACAATAGACTGTGGAAGAGAAAGAACAGAAATAATAAAAATAAAAAATGGAATAAGACAAGGAGGTACGCTCCCAACGGTACTACTTATTATATCATTTGACAAGATAATAAAAAATTATCAAACGCAGGAACTATAAACAAGAATGCAGTACAAATACTAGGATACGCAGACAAAATAAATATAGCAGCAATAGATTAAAAGGCACTACAGAAAACCTTCCGAGAAATAGAAAAAAAACCAAACTAAGAGGACTGGAAATAAATGAAAATAAAAGAAAATACATAAATGTAAGCAAGAAAAAGAAGACACAAGTGACAGAACTGACAATAGACGCACACAGTTTCGAAGAGGTTCAAACGTTCAATATTTGGGAGTACTAATCAACAGAAGAAATGGAAGTGTATATATGAAAAAAAGAATTCAAGCGGGAAACACGGTGTTCTATAGAAATAAAAAATGTTTAGAGATAAGAAGATAAGCCGAAACACGAAAATGAAAATCTAGAAACGACCAAAACAGACATTTACATTAACAGCAACAGAAGAGGAGCAACTCAAAGATTTTTGAGAGGAAGAATGCGAAAAAAAAAAACTGAGACCAAAGAGGGAAAACGAAGAGGATACAAGACAATGGATGAATTACGAAAAACAAGAATTGATGCTTCAAGAGAACATAGAGCAATAAAAGCACAGATAATTAGATAGTATCGACATAATGAATAATTGGATATAATAGGCATAGAGAAGAGCAATCCGTTTAGAGTTATAACAGAATGGATACCACCACGTAAAAGAACCAAATGTAGACCTAAAGTGAGAAGGGGACAACAAGTAGAAGAAAACTTAAGGAGTATGAAAATTAGCCATATAGGAAGGAGAAAAAATAATGAAGAAAAGTAGTGGAAACAGCGAAAGTAGTGGAACAGCAGAAACTGTAAAACCAAACCCAATATGGGATGATCCTACACACAAAAAGAATCTTCAAGTGAACAGTTTCATCTTCTTCGGGAGCGTAAAGTTTGTATATATGCTTTCTGTACCTTTCTCTCTTCAATATTTATTTCTTCGTTTTTCATCACTTCTGTTGTTGCTGGTTCATTATCGTCACCTTTAGCAAATACGAATCGAAAGTAGTCTGCCCATGTTTTTTTCTGAATGTGTTCGTTTTTATTAGTTCGTTTATCTATTTTCTTTGTCCTTTGATCATTCTCTCCATATTTCTTTTTGTATTTCGTAGAAGTCGTGTTCCATCTGGTTTGGGAAGCTCTGCCAGTGTCCCCTTTTATTTGTCTAATTAAAGTATTCGTTTTATTTCTGATTCATTTTTAGTAGTTGTATACCTGATGTGTTTGTTGTGTTCTGTATTGTAAAAAGACTTTCTTCTTTTTTTCACATTTGATATTTACTTCCTGCTTTTACTTCTATTTACTGCTATTCGTTTGTTAAAATTTCTACCAGTTTGACCGATGTAAGTTTTTGGTCAGTCGCCCATTTAAGTTTGTATACATCACTGTGTAAGTGCTTTTTATTTTGTCTTTTGATGTTTTTAATATATATGTCTAAACGCACTTATGATGTTTGATCTAAACGCACTTTACCTTCTAGATCATAATCATTATATTAATGACGAATTTTAAATTCTTCATATTCAAAATAAAGGCTTTAAGCTGTCTTTATTAGAATCTATGAAAATTAACAAATTTAAAACACTCATAATTCTGAATGACCAACTTGAGATAAACAGTTTATTCGGGCTGTTGGGCCGTTGTCTTCTGTTGAGATTAGTTCTCGACGTTGCGTTCTTGTAAGCAGAAACTGACTTGGTCAGTTTCTGCTTACAAGCGAAGCATCAACATCTCCAGAAGATGCCAATCCCTAGTGTTGGCGAAACGTCGAGAACTAATCTCAACAGAAGACAACGGCCCAACAGCCCGAATAAACAGTTTAATAAGTTAGACGATGGCCGTGAAAGCCTAACGCAATTTATTGAGATAAACAGTTCTTCCCTCCTCAATCTACGTCGTTAAAGACTATAAAGTGTAAACGTTTACCAAAAATAATTCACTTGAGAAAGGCACTCTGCCGAAACAGATGTAGTGATAAGATTTTACAATAAATTTTGTAAAAATTCTTTTTTGATTTGTTAGTGTTCATTATTTTCTCTCTTCAAGTGATTTTTTTGCTTCGTTAATTATAATATTTTTGAGTTTTTCCCGCTTTCCTTGATGTCATTGTTTTGTAATATTTTATTTTTAGCAATATTCTCTGCTATTTTTTTGTATGAGTCTTTCGTGGATTCCATATTTAGTCCTTCGACTCTGATTTTTGTTTGTTGGTGCCTCTCTCTTGAGTGTAGTAGTGTATGAATGTAGAATGTAGAATGTAGAGTGAAGTATTTCATAATTATTCTTATTTTACATAATACTAAGCTATGGTTGTTACCCATATACGCTGAGTCGAGGCATCTTACTTATTTTTAATGGATATATTCCCTGTTGGTTACAACATGATATGATAGATGTTTGTCCACGGGTGTTATTGAATGTATAATTATGTTGGTTTTTGTGGTCAAACAATGTGTTATTTATTCTAAATTCGTTATTTGTGCAGAAATTTATCATCAGCTGTTCATTTTCGTTTTTAAAATTATCGCTATATTTTTGTTTAATTCCGGTTATTACTTGGTATCTATTCTATATTTACATTGAACATATTCAACATATGGTTATTTACTGAACAAATTAAAGGCTTAGACATACTTACTATACAGCTTTCCGATTCTAGAACGATATTACAGCAGGAAGACTGTATGACAGGGGAGTTGACTATCTCTTGTCTGTGTCGTCTCGTCGCTTGACCAAGCCTACTCCCACCCGTCTCCTATGCCATTTCTGATTATACACCGACACTGCAGGCTATTCGTCTTCCTGCTACGGGCCGCTTGATGCTTAAGTTTAAGTGATGTTGAAGTTTTGCGCAGTGTTGTTTTCTTAAAACTGAGATTACGGTACGATGATAATAAATTCCTTTTTTTCTTTTTACTTCCACAAAATTTATTATCTTATCACTACAGCTGTTTCGGCAGAAGTGATCTATTTTTGGTATGCGTTTTACACTTTATAGTCTTTAACGAAATATGTTGAGGAAGAGCGAACTGTTTGTCTCAAGGGAGCCATTCAGAATTATGTCTGTTTTTTAATTTGTTAATTTCCATAGATTCTAACAACGATAGCTAAAGGCCTTTATTTTGAATGTGAAGAATTTGAAATTGATCATTAAAAGAATGATTATGATCTAGAAATTGAAGTGCGTTTGTAGAATCTGTTTTTCTATTATTGAAAGCCCTTTTTTATATTCTGCTATTCGTTTGTTAAAATTTCTCCCAGTTTGACCGATGTAAGTTTTAGGACAGTTGCCACATTTAAGTTTGTATACACCACTGTGTCAGTACTTTTTATTTTGGCTTTTGTTGTTTTTAATACATTTACCTAAGTTGTTTGATCTAAACACACTTCACCTTCTAGATCATAATCATTCTATTAATGACGAATTTCAAATTTTTCACATTCAAAATAACTTAAGCTATCTTTACCTATTAGAATCTATGGAAATTAACAAATTAAAAAACACAGACATAATTCTGAATGACCAACTTGAGACAAATAGTTATTCCCTCCTCAACCTATTTCGTTAAAGACTATAAAGTGTAAACGCTTACCAAAACTAGATCACTTGAGAAAGGCACAAAACAATGTTTTAAGTGTTTTATTTATATAAAATAAATTGTCATCAAGTAACGGGCGAATCCATTACTTATTTAGAATATTTTGTAGTTTAGCAACTTATAAAATAAAGATATTTAAACAATTTTTAGAGTCAGTAAAATGACTACAAAAATCATCTGCTTTTTTCCTAAGCTAACATAAAAGCAGAGTATTAAAAATATAAAATCTAACCTAATAAGTAATATATTACCTACAGTAATACCTAATATAATACCTAATAATATAATAATCTAATACCTACAGTAATACAAAGTATTAATATTATTTTACAATAAAAATATTGCCCAAAGGGATCTGGAAATGATAGCTGTTCGAAAATATGTATTTTACCTGGACAACTTTTTTTTAATTTAAGTTTCAACCCATTGAACGTGTACATCGGCTTTCTGAAATATTAAAAAAATTAGTCTCATCATCCACCAGATGAAGTAGAAGTGTAACAAACTCTGTTTTATCGTTCTTTTTTTAGCATTACCAATACATATTTACCTTCACAGCCCTCTATCAACGATTTTTTTTAATTAGATCTTCTTTATCCAAAATAACTATATCACGGTTATTGAAATATTTGAACATTGGTATGTGTGCTCATTCCTTTCCGATTCCTCATTGACCAGATTATTATAGCAATATCGGACCGCAGTATGATCGGAAGGCTGTACATATGTCCAAACCTTAAGGAGAAAGAAATCATTATCATTTTCATTTTGGTAAGGTTTGTTCTGTCCAATGTTAATGTTTTTCACAATATTTACAAGATAATTTTTTCAGTTCATATTTTTCCAGAAAAACAGTTTTCGGCTGCTCATTGTCTTCGGAATGAGAAATAGCATCATCAAATTAGCTCATTATATGAAATTACAAAGTTATAATCGTGTTTACATACTTAAGATATGACTGAATTATTAAAAGTGCAGTTTTTAAGACTTCGACTAATATCAAATGGCATTTAAAATAAAATTTTAATTTTTTTTTTGTTTTAAAATCTATTTAATGTCCGCTCCCTAGGAATTTTGCAATATTACGTAATTTATTTATTTTTATATTATTTTAGAGGATTTTGTGAAAGATCTTTTAAAAGAAAATATTATCCAAAATTATACGGCCAAAAAAGAAACCGCACGTGAATTTTATTTCAAGAAGTACAGACAACTTGGAAAGATCTCTTTCTTCAAATTTAAGAAGGAACTATGGAAATATTGGTATGTCAATTCATTTACATCGCGAGAAATTAAATTTAACGAACACTGGATAAACTATTTTGCCGATCAAATTGGTAAGTATTATTACTAAAGAAAATTAAGTTTATTTATATACAAAATTTAAACTAGATTCTAAAAGCAGTAAAAGAAAGAATTAAATCCATAAAACACATATTTATTTGAAATTGTCAACAAGTTCAAATATTTAAATATATAAAATATTAAAAGAAAAGATAGAAGAAATAAGAGATAGCGTCCATATTAAAGGCATTTCATTATTGCTTCTCTTAACGGAAAATATTTGATTTCACTATCAAATACGTATAAGCGAATATACAGAGACACTATACTTGAAATCAAATTTTAACAATATTTTCTTTTATTTCTGTTTACTCTTTATGGGTACAAGTAACTAGTTCGCCAAAATGTTGCTTAGATGAGGATAGTTGTCTTGCAATTTATAGAAGGCGCATATTAAAGCAAAAATCTGAAGTTTGGTTCGTCAACCAAAAAATCTTCGCATTTGTACTTTGTGGTATAAACAATAATACTAAAAATTATAATAAGAACCACACAGAGGTAGTGAAATTAGAGGGATTATTTATTCGATGTATTTGAGACCATCATGATATAAAAGCTTGACTGAAAATTGCAAAGAAAATCTGCCTAACAAATAAAAACGGAAAACAAAATCTAAAAACATTTTTAAATGAAATATATAAAATAATTTTAAAGAAATAGAATAGAATAGAAATAGAAATATTTTTTTGCAGTGCCGTATATATCAGCTGGTACAGGTGTGAGAAATCTAGGGCGTAACCCTTAATTTTCACACCCATTCGTTGAGATCTGGTACGGTATTAATTCCAAATGATTACTTGACGTGTTAAAGAATTTTTGCATTGATGAATTATGCCGTCTAAAAGTTACGGTTCTTGCAAATATTTATAAAATGTTAACTGTATTTGGGAGGAGAATTGTTGTTTTTTCAGTAAGATAATTATTTCTTGTACGGTAGTCACTTTTCTGACAAAATATGACTCAAACAATATCAAATTAATTTATAGCCGGTTATAATAAATGGTACACATTAAAGATTAAAAAAAACAACAAAAATTTGAAAACTTAACCTGTTTTTAAAATCAAGGAGTATCGAGATAGGTGGGGACCCTGACGAATCGTATATCGGGCAGGAAAAAGAAAAAGGAGAGGTAAAACGTCGTGTCCTGCACAACATGTCTCAAACACAGAACATACAATAAACCTGAACCACACTACGATGCTAGCTAACATTGAAATTAAAAGAAAACAAGAAATCAGAAAATCCATAGAAATAGAAATAGAAATGGAAATAGAAATAGAAATAAAAATAGAAATAGAAATAGCCCTATTTCTATTTTTTTATTTCTATTTCTATTTATATTCTATTTCTATGGATTTTCTGATTTCTTGTTTTCTTTTAATTTCAATGTTAGCTAGCATCGTAGTGTGGTTCAGGTTTATTGTATGTCCTGTGTTTGAGACATGTTGTGCAAGACACGACGTTTTCGATACTCCTTGATTTTATAACGATATTTTTGTTTTGGAGGATAGTAAAATTGTTGAAATTTTTCTGTCGGTATTAAAATATCCTTTTTATTTTGTGTTTTCTTAGCACCCTCCCTTTTTCTCTGTTGTACCCTTTACATATGGTTAGAATAGGTTTTGCAATCGGTTTTGCGTTTTCTCTTGGGTCCTTTATTCTTTCTTGAGCATTTTGGCCTTTTTAATATATATATATATATATATATATATATATATATATATATATATATATATATCTATATATATATGTATACATATATATATAAATATATATATATATATATATATATATATATATGTATATATATATATATATATACATATATATATATATATATATATTATATATATATATATATACATATATATATATAATATATATATTTATATATAAATATATCAGACGAGTGGTGGGTTCTTATATCGGTCTCTAGGTGGAGAAAAAAAAGACAAAGTTGATAGGCTACTTTATCTATTTTGAAGACGTTTCGCTTTCGAGTTTTGAAAGCATCATCAGTTTATCTAAAATCAGTTCATCTGATGCTATATATATATATATACTTTATATATATAATAATATTATATATATATATATATATATATAAATATATATTTATATATATATATATAAATATATATATATATATATATATATATATATATATATATATATATATAATATATATAACATACATTAAATTATATAACAGTTTACTTATAGAAATAAAAATAGAAATAGAAATATTTCTATTTTCTATTTCTATTTATATTCTATTTCTATCGATTTTCTGATTTCTTGTTTTCTTTTAATTTCAATGTTGGCTAGTTAGCATTTAAATTATTTAACAGTTTACTATAGAGCTGATATGTTAATTAAATACTTTTGAAAATATTTTCTAGGAGGAAGCTCTCTGAATAAGGAACCATTTAACGAGCAAGCTTATATCAATGACCAAAAGTGTTTATTGTGCAATGTTATATTTAATAATCCAGATGATTATAAGAGCCATCTCGAATGGTTGGATCATCAAATTCGTTTTAACTACGTTAAAAACAGGTAAGTTCATATAGGTATTACAAGAATTCCTAAATATTTCATCATAAAGATCCTGTATTGCCAGTTGGCTGCTATTCATACGCATTCCTTACTAATTTTTACTCTTGTTGATTTTTTTCTAAATGTATCTAATTTTTTGTAATTTTTGATATCATTATGCTAATATGTCAGAGTTGTGCTTAAGTATGTTGATATATTTTTCATCTACATATCAAATAAAAGATTATAATATACTTTTCTAGCACAGCACAATTTCAAGTTATGCTAGTTCTGTAATTAAAAAAAAAACATCTTGAGTTTTGATTCTATATAAGTATTAGTAATTAAAAGTATAAAAATAATAATATAACAATATAAAATAAAAATAAATAGTAATAAATATCCCGAAAAATAGCTGGCTTAACTCATTGCTGTTATCTGTACAAAGCAAAACACTTACCTTTAAAATATGATGTATTAATTGTATCACGCAGTGTAGAATTGTATCTGCGTCGCGACGCCTATGCAGAGGCACAAAAAAGAACGTAACGGATCAACTGGAGATGCTTTTCGTACGATGTCTCGATTTTAAGTATGTAGTTCGTATTTGTAAGGATAAAAATCTGCACTTACAAATTCTATGGTCAACGGTTTGTGGGGCAAGTACATCCCGTATATCAACTCTATTGTATGGCGCTTTTGAATGGCGATAATTCAACTAAATAGTTACAGAAATTTGATATTTTACAGCGTTTTCTGTGCTTGCGACGTAGTATCCAAATAACAAAGAGAAGTCAATTTCTTTGAACTTAAAAATAGATTACATGGGTTAGCCAGTTTGACAATGAGATTTTACTAAATAGTACAACAATAATATACTGTAATCTTTAAAGTAAATAGTTAGTTAGAATATATAGTTAAACAAGATCATTGTAATACAGTAATAAAAATATTAAATATAAAATATGTAAATATATATTAAATACTTTCCCAAACATGCACTATTAGAATAAAATTTCTTTGCATGCGTAATTTTTAATTATTTTTAGTGGTATAGTTTTTGGCAACGAGGTTATTCTTGTATTATAATGGTATTCTATCTTTAACACGTTAGCTGCGTTCAGAGATATTTATAAACTTACGTTGACTGCTTTACGTGTTCTAATGTCTGGTAGTCAACCTTTGCCACAGTGCGTTACGACCCATATATATATGTCGTAAAAGCCGACATTTAAAGGGTGCCTACATTTCGAAAATAAAAGATATTTGGTTTGTGTTCAAAGTTATATTTAATTTAATATTCATCATATATATTGTACAAGCAGGAGCGAGAGAAAAGTTTCCTGTCCCAAGCTTTATCCCTAATAGAAGTAAAATGGTTTGTTTTAACATTTACTTACTTCAAAACTGACCAAATATTTGAATTATGCAACAAAATTAAAATAACTTCTAAAATTAACATAAAAATAATTGTCCTATCTTCTTCTTAACGTGCCCTATCAAGTCCCCTTGACGTTGGCGATTAACATGGCGAAACTGTCTCTGTCTCAAGCTATTCTAAAGAGTTGCTCAGCTTTCTTTATTCCTGTCCACTCTCTGATATTCTCCAACCAAGAGGCCTGCTTTCTACCAATTCCTCTGCGTCCTTCAATTTTACCCATCATAATAAGTTGAAGAATATTATATCGGTCGCCCCTTACTACGTGTCCAAAATAGGCCATCTTTCTACATTTGTTATCAAGCAGCTCGCGAGCAGCATTTGCTCTCTCAAGGACTGCCACATCTGTCAGCATAGCCGTCCATGGAATTTTTAGTATACGTCTGTGCAGCCACATTTCAAAGGCCTCCAGACGATTAATGGTGGAAATTTTTAATGTCCATGCTTCGACACCGTATAAGAGGACTGACCAAATGTAGCATTTAACCATACGCTTTCGAAGTTGAAGTTTCAAGTTATCATTACAGAAGACTGACCTCATTTTTAAAAATGTCGTGCGGGCTATCTCGATTCTACATTTTATCTCTTGATCTGGATCTAGTTTTTCAGTAATATGGCAACCAAGATATTTAAAACTGGACACTCCTTGAATTATATGACCATCAACATATAATCGTGCATCTTGATGTGCTAAACGGCTAAACACCATGTGTCTTGTTTTTGAACAGTTTATGTTTAGGCCAAACTCTCTTCCCATTGTATCAATGGCATTTAAAAGGCATTGTAATCCATTCATGTCATCACTTAAAATAACTGTATCGTCTGCATATCTGAGTGTATTTATCAGAAAACCATTAACTTTCACGCCCCATTCCAAATTATGCAGCGCTTCTTTAAATATTTTATCTGAATATAAATTAAATAACAGTGGGGATAGTATACAACCCTGTCTGACACCTCTTTGTATTTTATATATTTCTGTTGATTTTCCGTTTATGCAAGCTGTCGCTGTTTGACGCCAGTATAACATTTCTATGAGTCGTATGTCTTGACTATCAACTCCTTTATCTTTTAATATTGTAATTAATTTGTGATGCTGTACTCGATCAAAGGCCTTTTCGTAGTCAATGAATACAGCAAAGTCTTTCCTTTGATCTCGACATTTTTGCAGTAATACATTTAGTGCAAAGAGGGCGTCCCGAGTTCCCAGTCCATTTCTGAAGCCAAATTGTGTTTCATCATCTTCTTCACATTTATCTCTGATTCTACTGTGGATGATGCGTAGAAATATATTTTTAAAGTGTGGCTCATAAGGCTTATTATTCTATAATCGCTACAGTTTTTCGGACGTTGTTTCTTTGGTAGTGTTATGAATTCGGACTTTAACCAATCTTCAGGGATATCACCAGTCGAATAAACATCATTGAAAAGTTTGACCAGTATTCCAATGTTCTCCTCATTTATAAGCTTTAACATCTCTGTCGGTATGTTATCAGGGTCAATGGCTTTCTTGTTCTTTGCTAACTTTATATCATGCAGTATTTCTGATTTTAGTATTTCTGGTCCTTCACCTTCAACTAAAGTCTCCGGTTCTTCGGGCTATTATCATTATACAGTTCACTTACATAATTACACCAGATTGTTCGAATTTCATGTTCGTCTATTATCATTTTTCCCGACGAATCGGTTATAGTATGTGAAGTTTTCTTATGATAAAGACCAGCTACTTCTCTAACTTTTTTAAACATATTAAACCTATCATGTTTTTTATTCAACTTTTCTAATTCCTTGCATTTATCCTCCATCCATTTTTCTTTAGCCACCTTTATATTTTGTTTAATTAGTTTCTGTTTTTCCTTATATTCTGTGTTGTTACCTTTCAGTTTCCTGAAATTGTCCTATCAGCAAACAAAATTTTTATTGTAGCTACATACATACTATATATTTTGGACCATCATTTTGGATCAAAATATTATAAATTGGATCTTTTCTACAAAGCATTCGAAATATGTTATCAGTTTCATTTATTTGTGACAATTTGGTAATACCCAATCATCAATATTGTCACATTGGATGATTTCAGCAGTAATATTTTCTTCCTTATTCTCTCAAAAACTATTATATTTTTTCATAGATACATCTGAAATGGTAAGATCCTATGACTCTGAGGAGATCACGAAATTTTTTTCTAAAACTGAATCATCTGAATCTTTAATAAAACTATTTGAATCACTTAATTCAGGCATAACTTGTGCTACTTCTACTAATTTTTTCTGACTAGCCATTATATAATTTTTCTTAAAAGCTCTTACTGCAACCGTGGTGAGACGTAAACTTAATTGGTACACAATACAAATAATTTTTAGTATTGTACCCACACAAGACTGCTCAACCATACGGTTAATCATACTTGGCATCTCTCATCCAGAGATCTAATGAAAAATGTCTCCCAAAATCATTACGTTAGTCGGTCACTGAAAAGATACAACCTACTACAACATACTACTGCAATTTAAATAAATAGGTAATATTAGTTAATATATCTGCAATAGAGAAGTTCTCCTTAATATCATATAACTAAACAAAATATAAGTCACAATAGATAGACAACTCACAGAACCTATAGAAATAGGCAGCGGAACAAGACAGCGAGACTCGTTGAGCCTTGTGCTCTTCAATTTAATCATGGATAAATTTATCAAAAGTGTCAACTTAACTCAACTGTCAATTCAAGAGGATACACAATGGAAAACAAAGAACTAAAAATATTATGTTACCGCAGACGACGCAATATTGATAGCCCAAGATGAAGAGAGTCTGCAAAGACTGGTACACAGATTTAACATAAGAGCAAAAGAATTTAATATGACGATCTCATCTCAGAAAACTAAAATAATAGTAATCAGCAAAGAACCAATTAAATGTAAAACAGAAATTTTAAATTAAAAAAAAAGTTATTTGTATTTTCATATTTCAAAAAATAAGCTCGTCATTCTTGTAAATGCAACATTAAGATGATATATTTTTCTTCCCATAAAGTTGTCAATTGGATCTACTCGTAAATCTAAATTGTTCTTGGTTACTATTCGAAAAGGTCAAAATAGTAAAATAAGCCATTAAGTCAATACTTACAATTTCTTTTTTTCAATCAGAACTCATGACTCTCGTCAGACATTTCTATCTGTTATCTGACTCTCGACATTTTTATCTGTTTTATTTTTTACGTATAATCCCGTACACCTCATGTTAAAATTCTACACTATATGACAAATAATTAAATTAAATCCTCAGCTTTTTAAATGCTGTAAATAACGAGATTACAAAGTTTTTGAGGCCCATTTGTGTAATGGTCTCTACTGATCTTATTTTCTATATAAATATGTATAATTCTATACCAGATTTGCCGTTAATTTATATGAATCTTGTAGATATAAATTAAGTAACTTATTTTACTTTATTTGTAATACTTCTTTATTAATGAGTCCTTAAAGATTAAGTATCTAAAATCTTTTGTATTTTCCTAAAGGATTTGGCATAGACGACGAAGTTGTCAGTGAAGTGAAAATGATTCCATTCGAGGATCTCTTTACTTTTTACTAATATTCAGTAATTATTGTAAATCAAAAACATGAAGCTTTAAAATATTATTTACTATTTTAGGTCAATTTTCAAGAACAATAATGAAATCGAAGCAGTGTTGATATGTAATGAAGAAGATTATACAGAACAAAAACTACAAGTTCCAGTGAAAACAGATATAAAAGCCACGCTACGTATCCAAAACGTTACGAAAAAAAATATTAATATTCTAAAGATTGTCCAAATTAACACTTTACAGACACATGTAAGCCTACAGGAAGAATTTGTGAGAGAGGTCCAATTGAAACCATCGGCAACAATAGATATCACTATAAGGGCTTATTTTGAACACAGTGATTCCCTTGAATATCCCATTTTATTGCTTACTGGAGGAAAGAGAAAAAATTTTCATCTAATCACAATAGTTAGTACACATTTTTGCCTATAGTTATTTTTATATAATTTTTAAAAATGTTCAGTAAGGAATAGATTAATTGTAGATAATTTGGATTAAAATATGCGATTTGACTACATTTACATTGGTCTAAAAGGTAATACTAACGGAGCTAGAGGGTGCCAAAGTCGAAAAAAAATTATATTTAGTTTAATATATTTCGACTACTTCCATATTCTATAAATTTTCTTATTTAAGGGTTAATAATCTTTTTTCTTATTCCTCTACTTAGAAGAAGTACGCATAATCCATTTTAAATGCATTTTCATGGAATCCGTTAGCCCTAAAGACTTTTTTTTTTTAATCGTCAATCATTTGATCATCACATTTTTCTGCCTTATGCTTCTTGTGTATTGATACATATGTGGCAGTGGTGTATTGATCAGTGTTAAGGTAGTGTCTCAGTTTCATAAATATGATTAAAGAACCATGTCAGATATTTGGTTGTAGTAGGACTTAAGTTTTTTTAAATGTTCTGGTGTGCCATTCCCAAATAATTGCAGAAGGTATTTTTCCCAAATTTATGTTGTTTATCAGTATCTGGCTTCTATATATCATTGGTCTCGATAGTTTCCTTTTTGTTTAATCCTTCTTATCTATTTATGTTTTTATGTTTTTTCCAGCTACGACAATGGGGTTTTAAAGGATTATTCAATTATCTTATATTTAATCATTCTTAATTATTTTCGCTATTTATTTTTGCATTTGTGTTTAAAATAATGTCCATTTGTTATGTCTTTAGTTTATTTGACCTTCAGATGCCTTAATCCAGTTGAGTTTGTCTCTATTTAGAGTTTTTGAATATTTTTAAGCTTCACTCTCAAATTCAATACGACGGCACTGTAATCTGTTTGTAAGTCGCATCCAGGATAGGCTTTGACATTAACTATGCTATTCCTATATCTTGTAAATTTAATATAGTCAATTCGGTTTCTAATAATATGATCTTCATCTTGAGAAGACGTTCACGTTAATATATTTTTAGTAAGCTTAAACTAGGTATTAGTTATTACAAGATTGTTTTCTTAAAAGAATTTAATAAATCTAGTGTCTCTGTCATTCCTAGAACTAAGTCTTCGAAAAAACTAAATCAAATCAAAACAGGAGCTTGGGTCCACGGGTGTTATCAACTTTTGGGAAAAATCACACCAAAAATGTCTTGATGGGTAACTAGACGACTACACGAAAAGCATGTAACTCCGTATGTTTCCTTATCGTATCTTCTTCTATTGATTATCCATTAATTTTGTATTAGGGATATGATCATGTATTTGTCTAATTAGAGGATCTATTGTAACTGCCCAGATGACTAATGTCTATACCATAAAAAAAATAAATAAATACAAATTCCGTAAGAACGAAGACTTTTATGTCGTCACATTTTATGGATTTCTGAGCTCTTTCGATGTGAAGATAAAATTCTTCGAGTTCTTCCTCAGTGATATCCGCTATTGGAGCATATACTTGTACTAGGTCTATATCAAATGGCTTCTCGTTTAGTTTAAGAAGGAATACTCGATCACTGATTGGTACAAAGCTCTTAATATTAAGCTCTAGTCTATTAATAAGTCTATTAATATATTAAGCTAGTCTATTAATATATCAAGTCTATTAATATATTAAGCTCTAGTCCCTGTGGCAGTTGCCAAATTGCCGCAGGGACTAGACTTCGAACACCATTTGATATATTTTTTTTATTTTTTTTTTAGCCATTTTTTTTTGTAAACGGTTTAGTTCACAAACAAGTATTGACATTGAAGTATATTGCAATAAAAATTGTAATTATTTAAATTTAAACGTTTGTACAGTTATAAAAAATACAATTTTGGTTATTTTTTATTGACATGGCTCTTACAAAATCATTACACTATAAATTTTTCTTTTTTGTAAAAACTGTTATTCTTGCAAATGTAGATCGAAAGTAATAATATTGACTAAGCACTATTACTTAGCTATATTGGGTACCTCCATATGTTGACAATGAGACATTATTTAAAAACAAATTTTCTGTTCGATGAACTCTGCATCTAGTGTCTGTTGAATAGTCACCACGATCAATTAGTTTTATTCCCTTTCACTCTTTTTGGTGTTACATAAAAGAACGTGTGTTTGTAAATATTATTTCTACAAATGTAGCTGCCATTAAAAGTAATGCTATTGAGAAGTTACTATTTTTGAGCTAGAATGAATGTAACCCCATTTTTGTTTGTCTGTGAGACTATAATTATTAGTAAACGAATTTCATGGTTGATGGACTGGTTGTCGAGTGATTGCTAAATGCTCATCACGGACGTGCGATTTTATTCTCCTTATTTTCTTTTTATAAGGTTATAGACTATGGTGGATCTGTTTTGAGGTGGATGTGAGAAGTGGCATTCAATTTTTTGCAAAAAAATAATACAATGAATAATTAATTTACGCTACTTTAGCAGAACTAGACTAAGGAACACGTTAGGATGAGGGTTTGAAAATAGACATATTGAATTATAGGTAGTCACTAAAAAACCTTATAAAATAAACTAAAATATTTCGAAGTGACATTCTTTAATCTCTTTTTTTTTAAGATTTTTTGTCAAATTTGTTTTGGTGATTGGAGAATTCCACCGAACAAAGCAGGAACTCTTTATACATCTAATTTTTAATTACAAGACTACTAATGATTAAAACATCTACTTTCTCGGTTTCTCCCGTTTTTGTATTATTTTTTTGATTTTGAAATATGAATGTGCATATATATGTAAACTGTTAAAAAAATAATTGGAAATCCAATTTTTCTTAAGTTTTAATTCGATTTTTATATTTTTTCTTAGGAAGTGGAGTCAGCATCTGAATTTTCTTTCCTAAAGAAAAATTCGACAAAATATGTTAGCCCGATACCAGACGCTTATTCAATATATTCTGATAAGCATGATATGATTGTACCAGGACAAAAGCTAGAAGAGTAAGTACGCTATAATATTTTTTAAAAATATCTTATTTTTTATAAAACGTCTAAGATAAAAGTTTCATCTTATGGATATTGTTGTTCTAGGCCATATATTTGGCCATTTAATTCAACAAATCGATAGAAGCTTTGCTAAAAGATTTAATCTTTTACACATTTCGTATAGCTCAGGGGACAGACTGTACGTAACCACTGCAGTGGTCAAGTTTTAAGAGACATTCTTTGGACTTTCCGAGTTTGAATTTTTATTTGCTCGAATGTCTGATCAAGCAGGGATGCTGAAATGAGTCATAACATATTATTGATACCGATTTGAGCACGGGAAGTTTAACGAATTTGTCCTCTATGCCATATATTTAGGGTTTTCCATTTAATTCCACAAAACGACAGCATTTAGATATTATTAAATCGTTTTCGTTCATGGCCAGCAAAGTTATGGCACCTCTGTACGCTAACCACTGTAGTGATCAAATTGTACTAGACATTAGTTGGACTTTCCTAGTTTGAATTTGAATCAACCCGAGTGTCTGATGAAGCCGGGATCCTAAAATAAACCATAAAACTCTATTGATACCGATTCGAGCACGAGAAGTTTAACGAATTTGTCTATTTTGTCTATTTTTTATATCCTGAATATACATACACATACACACACACACATATATGTATATATATATATATATATATATATATATATATATATATATATATATATATATTAGTTCTAAGCTAAAAACTAACTCTCTTATTATAGGTTAAAATCATACTACACTGAGAAATTACCATTGGACGGCTTTTATATACCCCATAGATTAGAAGAGATATTTAAAAGATTATTAACAGAATATCCAGAATTTGGTATGAGAGCACGACAGAAAGATTACAAAATATTTAGTCGGATGTTGAATGTTATTCCCGGCATTGAAGAAACCAACTATTTTACCAACCTTGAAAAACTATTACATATAGAAGAAAATCAGTTAAGAATAGATATTAGAAATTATGATACCACATCGACATTAAAGAAAGTGAAGGGAAAACCTTTATACGAACTAGAGGTAAAAATTTTTTTTTTCGTTTTTCGAAACGTTTTGTTCGATATGAAATTTATATTAAATAATTAATAGAAAACAATAACTCATCATAAATATATGTTCAAGCTGATTAAAAACTGAAATATCAGCTATTTCTTTAAATCGTCGAAGTAGGCCAAGAAATGAAGCACTAAACCTACCAATTTTTCGCAGCAAGATTAATCGCTGTGGAACTTTTTGCATTCGATTCAGGTAGGTGTCAGAAAAGTTTGCGAACAAAAGTTATGACGGTTAACTGAAATTTGCATTTTGTGCATAAGGAAGATGCATTTGTAAAGTACAGCGAAAATGATAAATTTGCAGCAAGAATATATCGACAGAATTAAGTTCAATTTTGTTACTCAGGTATTGTTTTGAGGTCACTGAATACGAATATGATAACCACGATGGTCTTCGGGTTACTTTCGGGCCCAGGATGGTCCTGTCTCCTAGAGTTTTATGTTATTTTTATTCGAAAACAGTCGAACGTCATTACTTGGAAGGTTTTATGGGTCGCTTTGCGACAGCGATGATCCACGATATCTATTGCACATTTCGTCTCTTGAAGTTGTTTGTTAATTTGTTATTTGCAATTTTTACAACGTAAAACTGTAGGAGAGGAGGTCACCCTGGGCACCAGATAGCTTAAAGACGAATAACGAATTTTGACTGATTTTGAATAAAAATACCGTAAAACTATGAAAGGCGAGGTTCACCCTGGGCCCCAGGTAACTCGAGGATCATCATTGTTATCATATTCTTGTTCAGTGACCTCGAAAACACCCCTAGTAACAAAATTAAACTCAATCTTGCCAATACTTTTGCATTTGGTTGCAAATTTTTCCTTTTTCTATGTACTTTGGAATTGCATTGTTCTTATACACAAAATGCAATTTTTATTTTAACACCATGAATCTTATTCATAAACTTTTCTGATACTTTCCCGATTCGAATGCAAAAAGTTGCACAGCGATTCATGTTACTGCGGAAAATTGGTAGGTTTAGTGATTTTAAGTTCTTCACTTCCACGTTTGTACTATCTGTCCATAACTTGATGTGTGTTACTTAAAATCAAATCTTGAATATTATTGTTATTCTGTCTTTTTTTGTATTTGTTTCTTTAACTTTCTCGTTTATTTGATCTCGTTCGGGCAACTCGTCTACATGTCACAACTTACAGGACATTTTTTTACCTCTGTTGGCTGCTTTTCTTCACTTTAATCATAAAGAACTTTATTTTCACGTTTTTTGTTTTTCTTTGTTGTCACTTTTCATGGTTTTCGTAAATCTTTATTTCTCATAGCCTAGGGTCGGCTAGTTAATATTATTTTCATATTCATACAAATTTTCCGGCTTTCTCAATTCTTACTTAAATTAATTTTGAGAAATAAAATTGTTCATTCACATACATTCCCAAATAATAATTATATTTTTCAATTGTTTAAAATCTGTCACAGACTGTTATGAACCAAAGTTTTGGCTCCTCCAGTCACCTCTGTCTTTGGCAACTTTTCTCCATGCTCTAACTCCAATAGATTTTAAATCGTCTTCTAAGTTGTCTTCATACCCAAGTCTCGCCCTTCCTCGGGTTTGTTGTCCCATCGGTCCTCATACGACATGCTACCTTAATGAATTTTACAACATCAGGTTCCCCGAAACTTCGATACTCACAGTTCTAACGCCTACGCTACAAGTTTTTGCTCTTTTATTCCTCCATATATTCTACTTAAAATTTTTTGCTCGAAACGTTTAAGCAGTTCTTGGTCCTTTTGTGTAAATGACCATGTTTCTGCTCCATATGTTAGCACTGGTCTTATTAGTGATTTATAGATAATCACTTTAATTTTTTTGGATAGTTTTGAGGCCATCTGTCTTCTTAAGCCATAGTAACACTTATTGGCAAGCACTATTTTTCTTTTAATTTCTTCGCTGACGTTGTTATTTTTAGCCAACAGCGAGCCTAGGTATATGAAGGTATCCATACTTTCCAGTTCCAAATCGTCAATTATTATTCTTTTAGTCGTGTGGTTGCTTGACCTAGAATAACACGTATGTTTGGTCTTTTGGGCATTTATATTTAGTCCCATTCTCTATGCAGATGCTTTAAATGACCGTAATGCATGGGTTAAAGACTCTGTGGACCTAGCTATGATGTCGATATTATTTGCATATACATTTGTGTAAATCTGGGACTGTCGAATAGATAAATAAAAGATGTGATGGCTCATCACCCTGTCTTGATCCAATTTTGAAATGGAAGGGTCTTGAAAAATCGTTCTGGATTCTCAATATGCTTGCTGCTCCTGTGAGAGTTAGTTCATTGGTTACGATGAAGCGGTATGTGGAATTCCGCCATAACCAGGAGAAGTTTACATCTATAAATTGAGTCGTAGGTGGTTTTGAAATCCACGAATATGTGGTAAGTGTCGACACCGAACTCGTAAAGATTTGGTCCGTTGGTGATTTACTAGTCCGGAAATCGCACTGATATCCTCCCACTATTTATTCGGTGTATGTCCGGGTGTTTCTTTCTGTAACCAGATTTTATTTTTTTATTTGACTATGTTTTAAAAAGGGTGTCACCGCCGTTTTTAAAAATTTAGACAGAGAGATTATCCGAATCGATTTCCTTTAAACTTTATAGAATATACCAGGAACCAGATATCGTAAAACATATTAAAATAGGACATCTGATGTGGATAGAGCATGTAATGTGGATGGAACAAAATGACCCAGCTAGAAAAATGCTCCTTGATGACCCATTGGTCAGAGAAGAAGGGGAACCCAGAACAAGATTCCTTGATAATATCGATGAAGTCATGAGAAAAATGGGAATACGTGCTTGGTGGTTCAAGGCAATGGAGCGGGAGCACTGGGGAGAAATTCTTTAGAAGGCTAGGACTCACGCAGGGTTGTTAAGCCAGAATGATGACGATGATAATGATTATCCGAATCGAGGGCTTTGTAATTTTTCAATTGTAAAATATCTTGTCGTCTTATTTCTTTTTCTTTAGAGAGTGGTTGCCGAACATTTTCATTAATTTAAAATATCTATCCCAGGGAGCCTCTATCCCATTTTCATGATTTCCATTCAGCAGTTCTTCGATATGATTTATCCATTTGTTAAGTATCTTTTCCTTGTCGCTAATTAGATAATTATCTCTGTCTTTACATGCTAATATTCTGAGTTTATATTTCTTTTTACAGTTGTTTATCTCATGGTAGAATCTCCATGAGTTGGTTCTGTTATGGTATTTAACAAGCTCGTTTGGAACTTTTTCGTATTATCCTTCCTTTTTCGAAAGAAAGTCAAAAGTTTTCATAATATTCTAGATTTAATCACATTCTGCATTTCTGGAGTCTTTTATACGCTTCATTTTTTACGCGTTCATAGCAAGCTTTTGTTAAAAGTTCATAATCGCTTGTACATTTCGATAGCTAAAAGGAGGAGAAAACGATGTTATGAAATTGATTTCGTACCTCTAAGTCAAAGCAGATTACACCTCTTTGCGCGTTCTTTTGATTTGGATTCAAACGCGAAAGGTGTGACTAATTTGTGCTCCAACGCCATAACATTTTTCGCATTCCTCCTGTAGTGATCCTTTTCCCAAATTAACATTCTCCTACTGCTCGGACATGTGTGTACATGTTCGGAAAGATTTCCGCGGTTAGCACAATTAAATTAGAGCTAAGATTAATACTATTACTATTTCTGACGTGTAGCGAAGAGCGAAGAGTGCTTTGGTGGGGACAATCGACCTGACGGCAACGGAGCTTATTAGCTCCCGGTGAGTAAGAGACACCGAGTTACACAGACTGGTGTTTTCATTCACAGCGAAAAGCGGATGTGGGGCTGTTATTAAGTTAAACCGTCGAGGAGCTGCCTTTATAGGCTCCTCGCGGAGGCTTTTAATAGCTTCGCGTTTTCGAAAATTTACGGGTTTGCTTCAGTGTGTCGATAGGGATGACACTGTAAGGCCTAGTTTTGAATTATAGGTCGGACAGAAACGCCCCCTGCTCCTGAGGTGAGCTAAACAGGAAGAGGATTTCTCCCTAAGAATTCAGGGAGAGAACAACCGCGTGGTAACTGGGACGACACCCAGGAAAACCGTCAGGCAGCGGCCAGAAATGGGCGAAAAAAACAGAGTCTTCTGAGTAATAAAATCCCAATTTCTTTTGAATACCTATATTCACGGCCTTCCGGCATAATGAGTGATAACCTCCCCCCTAACAGTGATGTCACGCAGGTGACATCACAAAAAAAAGAGGATGACAAGCCCAAGTCATCATCCTCCTCAGTTGCGTCTGCAATAGAATTTTATAATAATTTTACTAGTAACATAAACTCCGCGAACATTTTAGAAGATATCTCAACTGCCGATGACGACTCTTATGTGCCAGGATCAGAAGAAGACAAACCCAGCGAGGTGAATACTGATGACAACATCTCAACCATCACGGAGATGACAGCGATGGAAGTCATCGCCATCGACAAGGAGTTGAGCTCGGCCACCGAGTCGACTGAAGCCCCGCACCCAAACACCGAAGAGACGCCCCCCATGGTGGACGTCATCTCCATCATGCATGAAGCCGAACCAGAGATCGGCAGGAAAAGAAGCGGCAGCGGCCAACGGGAGACTCCTCAGAAAATGAGGAGGATAACAAACGAACCAAGTAAATGGAGTCCCTAGAAAAAAGCTAATGAGCTTTTCAAATTAGTAAACATGCTGACAGAACAGATTAAATCGCTTAAGGAAGAGAGCAGATTAAGAGAAGAAAAGGCCAACGCGCAAATACAAGACCTTCTCGCTCAGATGACTGAGCTGAGAAAAAAAAACAAAGAAAAGGATCAGGATTTCAAAAAATTAGTCAGCCATATAATGGCACTGACTAAAAGGAACAAGATGCAAGAAAGAATAAATGACGACCTCTGGAACGTGACCATGCTGTACATTCCACACAAGGAGACAACAACTCCATCAACGTCATCTGGAGGCAAGGGCAAGCCCCAATAGCCAAAGGTAGACACAACAAAAAAAGATGCAGGTTGGACAAAAGTCCAAAAAAAACAAAACAAAAGGCACCGCTACTGAGAAAGTAACAAACAGTAGCGAGAAAACAAAGGAAATGAGTATTGTTGAGAAACAAACTCAGAAAATCAATCAACGAAAAGACCAGGGGCTCACAATAACTGCTAAAGACACCCAGAAAAGAAGTGAGCAACGTAAAACAGCCCAAAAAAACTTGGAGAAAAACAAACAGAACACCAAGTTAAAAAAAAACAGCACAGACTATTAAATACCGACTGAGGTTAACGTGAGAAAGCAAAAACCTCCTGCGATCATTTTAAAAACGGTCGCAGAATATCAAAACATCCTGCCTAAAGCAGCAAAAAAGGGTATTATCTCCGATAATAAATTCGCCAGATCAGGCAGATCAATAGTAATTAATACAAAGTCAAGAAAAAATTACCTGGGTATGGTAAAGTTATTGGAGGAAAACATCCCCAAAGTTGAGTATATAGCATACCTAATCGATAGCGAGAAGCTAAAGAGAGTAATTCTAAAAGGGCTTTCTGCAAGTACTAGCACAAGTACTTTAGTTAATTCTAAACGAATTAAAAGAAAAAAAACATCAATGCTACAAGAGTCAGTAGCATGATATTAAAAAAAGAAGGGAAAAAGGTCTTGCCATATTTCACAGTCACCCTCAAAGAGGGAGACGTAACCAAAATAAAAAGCATCACAAATCTGTGCTATATGAGGATACATTTTGAAGATGAATTCAAAATGACAAAGGATACCCTACAGTGCTTCAACTGCCAGGGGTACTACCACAGTTCTAGGTTTGCCAATGCTCCAGATTCGTAAAGTGTGGAAAAAACCACCTTAGCAATGAGTATGAGAAGAGTAAAGAAACAGCTCCAAAATGCGCCAACTGCGAACAAGCGCACAGGGCCAACTACAAAGGATGCTCCAAGGCACCCAAAAAGAAGACCTCTGCCCCCGCAAAACCGGCGGGCAGACCAATAAACACAGCGACGACAAGTACAGGGGTTAGCTACGCTCAAGCAGCTAAGAAAACCCCAGAATCCAACCAAGAGACCAATATAAAACCATACCGAAAACCATAAATACCGATATAAAACCAAGAATAATTCAGAATGTTCACCACCAGTTCTTGGAATTTAGTGTCTACAATTTCTAAATTATACCATAGTATTAAATGTCTTTATAAGAAAAATTTAATATCACCATACACCGATATTTTTGCTAATATACCTACTGATAATACTTAATATTGGGAGATTGTTAATCAATAAATTTTACTAGGTTCCTGGATTAGCCGAAGCAAGACCGTCTATTTTAAGAAATGATAGAATTTATCTAAAAGAAAACAAGACTGATTCTTCTAAGTATGAAGGACGTGTTCATCAAGTATTTGAAACAAGCGTTTATTTAGGATTAAATAAAAGGTAAGAAATAGGTATACTTTAATATTTTATACTATATATACTATTTATCGAAAGCAAAAGTTAAAATATTATTTCGCAATCTGAAATATTTTTAATATGAATAGTATATGAATATTATACAATATTCTTACTATCATCAACTAGCCTCTAACGTCCACTGCTGAACATAGGCCTCTCGCATGCTCTTCCACTTAGTCCGATTTTGCGCCATCTGAATCCAATTTGTACTCACTCTTTTTATGTCATCTGTCCATCTCGTTGGGGGTCGACCTCTATTTCTGTATGCTTGTATTCGGGGTCTCCATTCCAAAATTCTTTTTGTCCACCGGTCATCAACTGATCTTGCTACATGACCTGCCCAGTTCCACTTTAGTGTTGTTATCCTTTCAATAACGTCTGCTACTCCTGATCTTTTGCGTATAGTAGCATTGGGTATTCTATCACGTAGAGAAATCCCTAACATAATTCTCTCCATTGCTCTTTCCGCAACTTGTAGTTTACTCACTGTTGTTCTTGTGAGCGTTAGGGTTTCTGCGCCGTAGGTCATCACTGGCAAAATACATTGATTAAATACTTTTCTTTTCAGACACATTGGAATCTTAGACCTAAAAATATCCTTCATCCTTCCAAATGCAGCCCAAGCGAGGTTTATTCTTCTTTTCAGCTCGATTGTTTGGTTGTCTCGACTTATTCTGATCTCATGGCCTAAGTATTTATAGGAGTCAACTGGCTCAATATCTTTGTCTTCTACTGAGATGTTTTTGTTGTGGACTAAATTTGTCATAAATTGTGTTTTTGAAAAATTTATTTTAAGACCAACTCTTTTTGTGGCAGTATGGAGTTCTTGGAGCATTATCTGAGCCTGATCAAAGCTGTCTGCAATAAGAACGATATCATCTGCAAATTTAAGGTTATTTAAAAATTTTCCATCTACATTGATGCCCTTTTCGTTCCAATCTATTGTTTTACAAGCGTATTCTAGCAAAGTTGTAAATAATTTAGGAGACATGTTGTCTCCTTGCCGAACGCCTCTTTCAATACGAAAAGTCCCAGTATCTTCATTAAGTCTTACACAGGCTGTAGCATGTTGATAGATGTATCTGATGAGAGATATGTATCGGTGATCTATTCTACATTGTGTTAGAGCTTGGAGCATTTCACTTTGATTGACCGTATCAAATGCTTTTTCAAAGTCGACAAAGATAAGTATCAGGGGTCTATTATATTCAGTGGTTTTTTCAATCAACGACTTAATGGTTTGCAAATGATCATTTGTTCCGTATCCAGCTCTAAATCCTGCTTGCTCGCAAGGTTGATAGAAGTCTAGTTTTGATGTCAACCTATTAGTTATTATCTTCATAAACAACTTATAAACGTGAGATAACAAGCTAATAGGTCTATAGTTCTTTAGCTCTGTTATATCTCCCTTTTTGTGCATGACTACTATAACAGCTTTATTCCACTGAGATGGTGTAACCTCGATTTCTTACTATAAACTATTACAAATCACCAGATACAGAGATCTTTGGAGACCGGCAATACACGACATCACAATGACCACTATACTTCCTTCCGGGGGTCAGGATTAAAGAGAGATTATATAATTTCAATATATCTAAACTGTGTGTAAAGCCATTAACTACTAAACTGCGAAACCAACATTATAACTAAATAATTACGGGAGCAGATCATGCAGAGATCTAAGGCTTGTAAAAAATTTTTATTCAAAGAGGAGTCAGACAAGATTGTGTCAGACTTTGCTTTACGCATATTCGGAAATAATATTAACGAAGTCTTAGAAGTACAATATGAAGTTCGAATTTGGGGAGAAACTACAACAACATCAGATATACAGATGATACAACGATCATGGCTAAAAGTATCGAAGATCTCCAATTTCTTATAGATCAAGTTACTAGATAATGCTCCAAGAACGGACTTAGCATACATACATCAAAGAAAAAGTTTTTTGAGGTTAGTAAATAAGACGTTTGCCCCCTAATAATCCATTCGAAAAGTTAATCATTTTATATATATATATTATATATATATATATATATATATATATAATATATATATATATATAAAAGTTAATCCGACTCACCTACAAAGTTAATCATTTTAAATGTTTAAAATGTGGGATAAACGACACACTAAATTCTGATGAAGAAATTAAATGTTGCTAACAAATGGCAAAAAAAAAGCATTTATAAAACTTAAACATATCCTCTGCCATTATCAGCTGATCTACATTAAGTTCCCAATGTGATATACATAATGTATTACTATACGGATATGAAATCTAAATTAAGCAAGTTAATATGATGAATACGCTAGAAGCCTTCGAGATGTGTCGTTAATTTTCTACTTAAAGATAGAGAAAAAGAGAGGAATCGGTAGAGGTAAATATTCGTGACTCTGAAACCTTCGCCAACAAATTGGCTTAGAAGCAGATCAATTGGTACATGCTGCACAAGATCAAGAAACATATCTGCGAATTTTAATTAAGGCTATAAGCGCCTAAATCTGAGCACTGATAGTTCTCAAAGAAGAAGAAGGAAAATACTATTAACGAAAAATTAATAAACTGATTTAAAAATAAAAGCAAATTCCATATAAGGTCGTAGAGGTGTAGGAAGAAAATAGTGTTCTTGGCTACAGAACATCTGTGAATTGACTCAGATAACAAAGGACAGGACAATTATTCCATGTGGCAGAAGATCAAGAAGATTTTTCAATGGTGATCGCCAATATCGGATAATTCTTATATGGCACGTAAAGGATAAGTAAAATTGATGATAAACAATATAAATGATCTGCATTGACCACCAAACTGGCCAGATATAGAATGGAAGATTATATATACAACATTATAAGAATTTGAAAAACAGAAATATATCTTAGTAAGAAAAAAAATATAATTGTTGTTAATTCCTATAAATGGAAAACATTTATGTGATGGTGTAAATATTCAACAGCAGGGTCAGCGATATTTTTTATAACTGAACCGTCAGAAATTGTATCTTTAGGGTAGTAGACAAATTCATTCTGAATGTGTTAGTTGAGAAGTGAACTCAGTAGCTCTACATCCGATGTAGCCAGTCTAAAGTCCGAAAAAGGAAGAGCATGGCTAGGTACATGAAACATTGAAAGCATTTATTATCATTATTATTCTGGCTTTACAGCCCTGTATCGATAACAGCATCCTCAAGAATTTCCCTCCAGTCCTCTATATCCATCGCCTTCTTCCATCAAGCACATATTTCTCATGTTTTTATCAATATTATCGAGTAACCTTGTTCTGGGTTTTATCTTCTTCTTCCAGTCCTTCTATCTTCTATCCTCATTCTATCTTAATGTATTTTACGATATCTGATTCCTGGTATATTCTATAAATTGTGAAGTATTCCGAAGCCTTCATGTTTCTGGTAAATTTAAAAATATTCTTTAGGAGACCAAACGCCTAAATTGTCAATTATTGATATATGCGAATTAGGATGGTCTGGTTCAGGAACGTACAGACACAAAGATGGTGTATTGTATTATAGTGGCAATGATAACGGCCACCCGCAGTATAAGAATGGAATAGGAATTTTTGTAACTATGGAATTCGAGAAATATGTCCTTAATTGTGTTCCAATAAAAGACAGCATAATCCATTTAGAAATTCTGTATTATAAGCTTAGTGGTAACGGGCGTAGCAAAGGTATAGACTCTTTGATTTTTGCCGATAACACAATAAGATAGTAACAAACATATACTTTGAGCTACATCCTGGCAGGCTATATACTCAGATAGATTACATTCTTCTTACAAAAGATTTAGGAGCTTTATCAGCAAAGTTACGACATATCTTGGAGAATATATTATGTCTGATCACAACCCTTTAGTCGCAAGAGCGGGACTAAACACATAAGGAAAAACACCAGCAAAAGAATTTTAATATTTCTACGTCAACAAATGTAAAATCGAAAGATTGATAAACCTCATGGGACAAAGTTTAAACATGTAGTAAATATACAACTGAATCGTTCAAAGATGACAGGCCAAACACACAGGCAATGTAAATCAAGAAGTTCCCAAAATTTTAAAATATCAAGTTCTTCATGCTATAAAATCAGTTAACCCTATAAAAGCATTGGAGCAGATAGGCTTAATCCTTATATTGAACCAGCTGAACTCTTAAAAATGATAACAGAGGACCGTATCAATGCTCCAGTTAAGCTTTTTCATGATGTTTATTTTCTTATTTATGCGCATCATCCTTTAAGGATATTAGCGATCATCACGGCTCATTTTACTTTATCTGCAGTAGTTCTAAAGAGTTCTATTGTTGTTTTTCGACTCTACTGCTTTAAAATTTTTAACCAGGACCTGTGTTGTCTCCTTTTTTCTTCCACTTTCCCTTGTATAACCAATCGTATCAACTGATATGATGTGAATATGTATACGATATGTACAATGTACACTACTGGTTAAATACCTCAGTAATTACTGAAAAATGTTTTTATAACAATTAAAAAGAAAGTCATTGCGAAAGAGATTTAGATGACATCCAGTTTGAATTTAAGAATGCGCTGAAAATGAAATAATTTTTCTCCACTTCTCGTGTTTAGTGTCATCAAGTCTAAAATTACATCAAATGATACCAGGACAATTAATAATATTAATTTTTGTAATAGTATTGATCTTAGCTCTAAGTTTCAGTGTACTAACTCAGGCAATCTTTCCGAACATATATATATTATATATATATATATATATATATATATATATATATATATATATATATATATATATATATATATATATATATGTTTATATATAATATATATATATATATACATATATATATATATATAGATATATATATATATATATCTATATATATATATAAAAACTATTGTAATAGTTTTGTTTTTATTATTTTTATGTTTTATTGTTAATAAATATAATTTTAATTGAATTGAAGTGAATTTTAAAAGTATGTAGTTCGTTGT